GATGGATGGATGGATGGATGGAGCAGGATGGGTGGGTGGATGGATGGATGGATGGATGGATGGAGCAGGATGGGTGGATGGATGGATGGATGGATGGATGGATGGAGCAGGATGGGTGGATGGATGGATGGATGGATGGATGGATGGAGCAGGATGGGTGGATGGATGGATGGAAAGGGACGGATGGAGGGATGCAGATGTAGGTCGGCGTGAGCCAACAGCCCCCGTGGCCAGGGCAGACTGGGGGCCCGGGAGGTCCCGGAGAGTGCAGGGTCACAGGCAGGGTCCCCCATGTCAGGGGCTGCTGTGGGTCCCTGGCCGGGGGCTCCTGCTGTGGCCGATCCCCCCCGGGCAGGGCTGTCACGGTGATGGCGGTGCCACCCCGGCGGTGGCAGCCGCCCAGCCCTGATCCCGGCCCGGGTTAATCCGCTTTGCCTGCGGGGACCAGATGGCCCCGCTAAGTGGGTCAGGCAGGAGCGGGGACACCGGGGAGCACCGGGCCCCCCTGCACTTCCCATCAGCTGCAAAACAATCATTGAGTGAAAGGAGGGGAGAGAGGGACCTGGACACAGTGCAGCTGGGGGGACACGACTGCTGGTGCCTGGACTGGCAGCGGGACAGGGCTCGGTGTCACCACGGAGCATCCAGAACATCCTGAGCTCCTGGTCTGCAGCCTCTGGGATGAACTTGCCCATGGCAAAGGCCAGGGAGAGGCCAACAAGCCACACAGTCAGGATCCGGCCTTTTCCACTGCCTACACTCTGCCTGTACCACTGTGTGTACTGTTGCCTGCACCCTACCTGTTCCACTGCCTGTACTGCTGCCTGTACTCTGCCTGCACTGCTGCCTTCACCCCCTTCCCAGCCCAAGCTGGTTTATTTTCCCCTCCCCAGCCTGGAAAAGGACACCAGCTGTCCCAAGAGTGGCCGAGCTGCTGTTCCCCGTGTCCCACTGTCCCTGGCGGTTCCACTGGCCCCACCAGCCCCCCCTCCCCAGCAATTGCACTGGTCCCATTGTCCGTGTTGACCCTCCCTGCCCAAGAGACCCTTCCCAAACCAGCCAAGTCCCCCCAGCTCCCCCCACTCACCACTGCAATGGGGGAACCACACAGCAGGACAGGACCCCCAGGTCCCCCCAGCCCCCAAATCCCCCACTGCCATGGGGGGCATTGACACCCCATGGGCCTCCCACGTTGCCACCATCTGCCACTGCCTGCCCCCTCCCAGCCTGGCACTGCTGTGCCACAGCTAAAAATAAATCCAGCAATCTCTAGGAAAGTTCCTTGGAGAGCATGAGCAGGAGCACACGGCCAGGAGGAGCACGCAGGGCCCAGGGGAAGCAGCATCCTTGGGAGCAGGCCAGGGGATCACCAAGCTGCTCCACAAGGCCAGAGCCAGCCCTGGACATCCACAAACCCCACAGGACTAATTTTTTCCCATCCACTGCTGCCCAGAGTATCCAGATGGGGAAAAGCGGAGCCGGAGCTGGGGTGGTGCAGGGGCTGCACATCCCCGGTGAAATCTCCCCCTCGCTCACTCCAGAGTGGGGGAGGATGTCAGGGAGGCTGAGGGCAGCACTGTCCCTGCTCCTGGGGACAAGGCTCCTTCTTGACCTGGGTGGAAGGGGGGCCAGCTGGCGGGGGGGCAAATTTTTAGCAGGTGACGGGAGCTGAAATAGCAGCACAGGGTATTTGTGCCCCCAAGCCCAGTTGAGACAGCAGCTCCCAGCACATAACTGGGGACGGCTCTGCTGAGCTGCTAAGCTCCCGTTTAAGCAGCTGAGAACAAGTGGCTGGATATCCAGCCAGTGCATCCCTCCGGCTGCTCATCCAGCCAGAAATGCCGGGGTGGGGGCGGGTGCCGCCGTCCCCGGGGGGCACAGCCTCGCCCGCTCAGGCATTAACGGCGCCGTCTGCACAGATTAATTCTGCCCTGGGCGCCGCAGCCGAACACAGGGCTGACGGGCACCAGTCGCTGTGTTTTCCCTCACTGCAGCCTCACAGTGCAGGAGGAGCCAGGTCACACGCAGATCCCAAAGGGAATTTGCAAAGGGTGGGTAAGAGTTGGGTCTCCAGACCAGGACACATTTACTCTGCAGGGAAATGCAGGAGCTCACCTTCGTGCCGCGTCCGCCCTGGCTGGGCCGGCAGTGCCACTGGCACTGTGGCGGGTGCTGGTGCTCTCAGCGCAGGTTCCACCAGGCCTCTCCCACTGCCAGGGGCTATTCCCACGGGAAGGACTCTCAGGAAGGACTTTGAGAAAGAACAGATTCAGAGCCAGGACCACTTCTGCTCCACGAGGCTCTCTCCTTAAAATGCCCTGTTTTATTGCAGGGCCATCCCTGTGAGCGAGCCCATCTCAACACCAGGCTGTTGGTGACATCCCTCCAGTTCCTCTTCCAGGCTGTGACTGTCCCAGGCCACTGCAGGGAGGGCTTTCTCCTCAGGTGACACTACTGCCTATCTCCAAGCTCACGTACGTGAGTAACAGCGCCGGGACAGAGACCAGGCTGGAGGCAGAGCCGTGTGAAATACTGGTGTGTTTATTGGTTGGCACTAGATTACAGCCCACGCGCTCGGCAAACTGGCATCCACGAATTTTATGTTTTTAACTTTTTACTCGACAGCCTCCCCCTTGCACACAACTCAACAGAGGAAACCCTTCCCGACAGGACCCCGACCGCCCGGCGACGGAGCGAGCACAGAGTGGGCAGAGCCCTCTGGCCTTCCTAGAGACACTGTGGATGAAAGATCAGAACCATGGAGGTATGTGCTACACCTGCCAGCCAGGATCAAGCAGGAGAGCACCTGCATTATCCAGAGGCTCCAAGTGAGATCTGAACCCTGAAGGAAACGGGATGTTTTCTACTGAACGTGTTTGACTTTGAGCAAAGGTGTCATAAAAATGAGTAAGAGAAAGTATCCACTGAAATGCTCCGTTTCCAAAGTGCCTCTGCAGTTGTAAAGTGTTTCTGCAAACTATTTCACCTTAATTCGTCATAACCCTCCCACGTGAACTTCACCAGGAGAAAAGAAACACCAAGCGCTGGGGTGAAGAACGGAGACCTGCAGCCAGGAAAAGAAACCCAAACAGATTATGGGAATTACAAATCCAAAACCAATCTCAAATTCACAGAGAATTGAGCATTTCACTTATGATTCACTGAAAACACTTGAAAATCTCAGGCTTCTTTTAATTCTAATAAATTAGCAAGTTTGTTCTCTACATCAGCTTTCTTCTTCCAAACTTGCTGACACTTCCCTGTGGAAGCCAAGCGGCAAGAGCGGCATAAGGACCTCCATGAGACATCCCAACCGACCCCACCAAATCCCAACTGACCCCACATCTCAACCAACCACACATCCCGACCAACCCCACCATGTCACACAAAGCAGGACACCCCAGGATCCCTCCAGGCTCTGCAGCAGCCCCACCCCAGGCCTGGACACCGGGATGACTCAGAACAGAGTCTGTGAAGGGTCAGAGCCCGTTTTCCCTCGGGCTGCTCACACCTGTCAGTGCCTGGGTCGGTGTCAGTCCCACTCAGTCAGGAGAGTGAGTTTGAAGGTACCAGCTCAGACACAAACCAGAGACAGGAAAGCCCTGAGGCTCTGACTGACCGTGGGGGTTCCTATGGAGAAGGCTCAGGCAGACACGCTCACACCCGGCTCCGAGGGCTGCCAGGGAGCCCCAGGTACACAGAGCTCATGGAAAGACTGAGCAGCAAATAATGCAAAGAGATTGTTCCAGATCTTGAGATATAGTAAATATAAAACAGGACACACAGGAAGTTCAGCAAACACTCTTGTACCTCCCCACATTAATTTCTGAGGCAATTCTAGAGCCAATTTCTCAAGTATAACTTCAAAATTCCCACCTTCCCACCAAAAAAAAAAAAAAAAAAAAAAAAAAAAAAAAAAAAAAAAAAGGGAAAAAACCCCGATGGACTAGCACCAAAAAGAGATTTTATAAATCTCCTAAATACAACTTTAGTCCAGTTCAGTTTCTTTTTCACCAGCTACACCTCTTGGTTATGTACAGACTCCTGACACTAACCCCAGTACAGCACTGCAGGATCTGCCCCTACCCCAGCCCAGAGCAGCTGGGTTAGTTCACTCCAACACCAGGAACGTGAGGATCACACCCTGTGTGTGTCAGGGGCTCGGGGACAAGCCCAGGGGTGCTCCAGCCGCAGGGTCACTGTGTCCCAGCAGAGCCACAGCCACCAGATGATACTGTTACTGAGCAGGAAAATGGAGCCAGGAGGGAAAACAGCCTGGGAGCAAGAGCAGAGAGGGCACTGGGTCACTCAGTGCTGCTGAGCATCTCTCTGGGATCAAAGCTCCTCCCACAGCAACCCCACCACTGCTGGGGGCAGGTTTGGCTAAAGAGACCGAGACCTCTGATCCTGCTCCGGCCACAGGCTCCGCTTGGGAGGGTCAAACCCTCAAACCCGTCACCCCTGTTGCTTTGCACAGGTCCAGCCACTGCATCAGGCTGTGTGAAAGCACAAACACATCCACTGGGGATAAAACAGTGGGTCTGAGAACAGGCAGGAAAATCTACAGCTCTTGTAACTGGGGCGCACGTTGGGCCTGTGCAGCCTCCAGGATTTTGCTCCCCGGGAGCAACCGCACACTGCGGAATGCTGGACATGGTTTCTGCATGGAAAAGCTGAGGCCCAGAGCCCGTGCTGGATCCAGGAAGGGAACTGAGGATTCCTGACATTCCCTACCCACATTTTTAGCCACTGAATACTTTGTGTCCGCACAAGGGAAAAAGCATCACTTGCAGATTCCAACCCCTCTTCATTTCTCCCTTTACAGAGTTTGCTTTAAGGCACATTCCAGCTGAGGCTGAATGAGCTGCCTCCGTGCTCCATGGAGAGCAGGGAAGAGCTCACAGCATCCACCTACCCAGGAACAGACCTGCCAGCTCAGGGGGGCCCTACAAGTGCTGCACCTCGTGGGCATCCCCTGCGGGACCCACCTCACACCAGTGCCCAGGGAGCAGAGCTGGGCTGAGAGCCAGCTGAGAACTGCTCTGAGGGTCAGGCCAGTCACAACATGCTGAGGTAAGAATCCCCCTATCCAATGCTACCAGTTCAGAACAGCACCAGGTTTAGCAAGGCTGGGAGCCCAAGGCTCATCCCACGGGGTTCAGCAGGGTCAGGACAGTGGCCTCAGCACGGACACCAAGCAGCACCGGCCCAGGCTGCAGAACCAGAGCACGGGGCCGCCCTCCCAGCAGGTCCCCTGTCCCTCACACAGGCACTGACTGTCAGTCCCAAACCAATTAACACCAGTTTGGATAAAACCACTGCAATTGCTGGGGTCTGCAGCTGGACCAGCTCTAGAAAGAACCTCAGATGCTGAGGAAGACGGGAATGGTGTGGTGCAGGGAGAGCTCAGGGAGCACGGGGCTAAGGCCTGGTCTGAAATCTGCATCTCTTCAGTCAAGACTATTCCTGCCCCAGAAGCCATTTCCAGTTACAAGGCATAACATCAGCCACTCTGTGGTAACAGCATCAACTCATGCCACATTAAAACACTTTCTTGGCACAATTTATTTTTCTGACCCAAACAAATAAGCCATTAGCAAGTCATTAACAATATTCTACCCTATATTGTCAGTTTAACAGCCCTGTAAAAACATTTTTAGTTTAAAAACAAAAGTGTGCATGCTGCTGATATTAAAACTGCAGTTACTCTTTCAGGAGTACCAGCTGTTTTGTTGCAACGCGTTTCCAACATACTAATCTGTACAGAAGAGACCAAGACTCCTCGAAGGCAGTAGTTGGCTGTGTCAGGTGCCTCGCAGGGCGCGGGGACAGTGACTGTCGGAATTCCTTGTACACTTCCAGATAGAATATTCAAGCCCTTTGAGAGTTTGGTTCAGGCTGACCAGCACAGAGTGAGAAAGGATTGTACATTCGTCTCTAAGTTGAAGTGAGCTGAACTGGTGTAATTTAGGCTCAATTCCAGATGCCCGGGTTTGAGCTACTCCTTGAACAATGGGCTGTTCCTTACGCGTGGTTTTCCATGTCAGCGATCGCTGGCACTGCTTTTGGCCTTGCTACTCCACACTGATGAAAGCAGGGAGAACAAGGAAAGGAACACAAGAGGATCTTAAAATGAACAGCTTCTTGCCAAACCAGCAAGGATACCATTCCCCCTTGTCCCAGGCTCCATGGATATTTCTATCAGATTTTCATATTGTAAGCGCTTCTCGGGAAGAGAGAAAACTCCGGAACAGTGAGTGTTTATTAGAATATTTTTTGTTAAATAAAGAGAAGGAAAAAAAAAGGAAAAAAAAAAAAAAGAGCACTGCAGATTTAATTTCACATCTTGGCTCTGCTCTGACAAAGGAGAGGTTACTGAACTCAGCAACCACTTCTTGTCCCAAGCCAGGGATTAATTAATGCCCCTCCCAAAACTTGTACCTGACCCAACCCACCCCCCAGCCCCAACCCTTCCCATTTTATTTCCCAACTAGACAACACTGTTGGCAAATCAAGACAGCATGAAACTTACAGCAATAAAACAACAAACCCCCGTGTGAAGTGTGCCAACGCATCGGGGAGCTCTCCTGCGAGCCGGGTGTGCTCCCCCCGGGAATGCTGCCGGAGCAGCTGTACCTTTCACGGAGGACACACTCCACGTGCGACTGTAAGTGCTGCAGAACCACAGGACAAGAGACCCAACACCTGAATGTCTCCTCCAGGACCTCTCCTCAGGACACACGTGGCTGTCCGACCGCGGGCTCGCGCAGCAGCGCTCCGTGAGTCCGATCCGATGCTTTAGCACAAATTCCAAGTCTCCAGCTCAGCACGGCGTAAGGCATGTGGACAAGAGAGACACGAGCAGAACGCAGCAGGAGCAGGGAACAGCACTGGGGAGCCACACTGCAGTCTGTCTGTCTGACCCCCGTGCAGCCCCGGCTCCCACTGCAGACGACGCAGTCCGGGTTCTATCGCAGCGCTGCTGAGGCTGTTTGGTTTTGGCCAAGGGGTAAAGACCAACTCCTTGTGGTTTCACTCTGATGAAAATGCAGAAACATTGGCAGAAGCTGTTGGAGAAGCCACGGAGCCGCAGGGATGTCTGCAGGGATGTCTGCAGGGATGTCTGCAGGGATGTCTGCAGGGGATCCGAACTCTGCCCTCAACTTCAAGTGTCACTGCACTAAACTGGGAGATACTGGATGGGGAGTAAACTGGCCCAGCCACTAGCACTGTCACAGAATGTGTATTTTTAAAAAACAGAACAAAAGGCAAACAGATTAATTATGAACCCTTCTTTTCGGAAGCAGACCAGGATTAAAAAAATTCCCGCAAAATTAAAATGTTAGATCCTCCATCTAAAAAAAGTTTATACAGACGTGCTGCAAGCGACCCCCACATGGGTCTGAGCAGCACTTTACAGTACAGACTAAGACTTGAAGAGCTGATCTCACATTGAAGTCTTTTAATTAAAAAAAAAAAAAAAAAAAAAAAAAAAAAAGTGGCTCTGGCTGGGGTGACACGAAGGGGACACTCGGGACACTTCAGAGCACAAGGCAGAGGAGGGGCTGGCAGCCTCCAGGCCGTGGAGCGGAGTACCGGGAAAGGGGCACTTCATGCACAAAATGTATTTTACAAAATACAGATCCAAAAAAGCAAAAAAAGCCAATGAAAAAAAATCCCACCTTGCACTAAATTGCAGCACTCTGAACACTTGCTCTGCCCCAGGCGGCTGCCCATGCCTGGTGTGAGGGAGGAGGCATGGAAACGGGGAGGGGAGGGAAATCCAGGTCTCAGTCTGGGTTTGGAAATGGCTCTGGCAGGGACGTTGTCAGTCATCTGATGTCGGACACGGAGCTCTCGGAGTACGGCGTGGTCATCACCGGGGTGCCGTTGTTGGCCAGACAGCCTTGCCTCAAGGTTTCAAAATACGAGGCCTGCACTGGTTTATGATATTGCAGAACTTTTATGGCATCTTCTATCTTAAACCATTCCCTTTTCCTTCCTGGGGGCAAGGAGAGAAATCAGTGAGTGCCACAGAACGACATTGTCCTTTCCAGTCTGAACATTCCTGCTCCTGAGCTGTCTTTCTCTGTCATGGGCACCAAGACTCACTTCACTGTGAGCAAACTGGCAGTGCAAAGGCACTGGGAAATTCCTCCTGGGATTCTCTGATCTCAAGGGCCTCCCACTCCAACCTCACACTGATGCCTTCTCATCCCCAGAACAGGTTTTTGTTTAGGGCAGTACATCCCCTAACTTGCATTTCCTAATTAACCCCCCCCCATTTATTTTGCTATTTCTGCAATTTCTATTCAAGTCAGACACTCATTTTAAGACAATCCACAACACATTCCAACCACCACCCAATTTCTATCAGTTTGCAAGTGAACTTCAGTTTCCTGAGGACAGCTCTCTTCCCATAAACCCCTTCCATACACAGTCTAAGGAGAGTCACATTCCAGGTGCTGCAGTGCAACCCCTCCTGGGAACAACAGGTTCATTTCCATTTGGGAATCCAATTTAAATGCACAGATAACAGGGAATGATTAACCCACACTGCCCACATGTATGTCCTCTAGTCCCAGACAGGACAGCTCTTCATGTTCTTTGCTTTGCACCTTCCAGTGCAAGAATTAAACACAAAATTGCTGCAGAGACAGCTGGACAGTTATTTAGCTTCTCTTGGGCCACAGAGGTGACAAAAGCTTCAATTTGACCACAAATTTTTATCCTAATCAACCAAAGGACACACCACTGCGACCCTTCCTAACCACTCCCAGAGGGATTCCAGGTCCCAGAGGGATGCTGAGCTGAAATGGTTTGTCTGCATCAGTTAATGGCAGCGAGCACAAAGCTTACCAATATTGACAGAGTCCTCCCAGTCCTCCAACACTTCGGTGACGATAAGTACGTAAACATATGTCCTGTGCTTCCTGTCCCGGTTCTGGAAGGCAAGGGGAGCAGAGTAACCACAAACCATTTTGGGCAGCAGGACAGGGGGTGACTGCAAACTGCCCCCCACGACCCTGGGGCACCCTGGGTGCGGCTCCTGCCACATTACAGCTCGTCTGTAGCCACTAAAAGCTGTTGTGTTTTAAATGAGAGGTCTGAAAATATTGTTAGGGACTGGAGCCCTAAAGTGTAGTTCCTGATCTGTGGGGAAGTGGTTGGAGGACTGATGTGCTTATAAATCAGTTCCTCAGCTGGGAAAAAAACACAGGGAAGATTTTTACACAACTCAGAAATTCCAGAGTCAGGGACAGAACAAGGGCAAGAGCTGTGTCTGGTACCTGCTGACTGTGCAGCACCCCCCAGGTGTGGCTGTGCACCCCACGGGAGCACAAACACTGCACCGGCCCCTCGGGGCGCTAGAGAAGGAGGGACTTTGCTCCCTGGCTGGGGTGGCCTTTGGCAGCAAGAAGGGTATGAAGGCACCGAGAATATTCACTGTTGCACCAGGTATCACCAGTGATTTCAGCTGAAGTGCCCATTGCAATGATCAGAGTCGCTGAACACATCAGTGTGAGCTTTTATTTAGAGGGAACTTTGAAGTTTCCCTCCACACAAGCACCAGCTCACTTCACAACACCCTGCAGAGCCATGGTTACTCCAAGACAATTTTTTGCAAGAAAATTTCACAGCGTTGATGTCTGAAACTTACCTCAAAAATTCCCACTAGTCTTCCTAACGTCCCTTTCACTCCAGCCTAGGGGAAGTTCAAAGAGAAAAGAAACATGCTTTAACAACAGCTCAGTACGTGTTTTCTACTTCTTGTGCAGGACCAGTTCCTTAGGACAGGAAGCAAATGCTCTAAAATTCTGTTCATCTTAAACCAACACAGTCACAAGATAAGAGACAGAAATGTATCCCGAGTTCTAATCATCCATGCATTCCCAGGATTTTTTATCTTGTTTTCCTTTATTCAAGCAACTTTGAATTCAATCTGGAGGAAGAAGAAATATTTGAGGAGTTACTCCTTGCATACCAATACACTCCTCGTGACCAGAATCTCCTCTGCAGGTTATTACAGCCTGAGCACAGGGAACATTGGCTTCAGGGTTTAGCAGTTTTAACTCCTCAAAATTATAGTTTAAGAAAGTAACTTTAAAGGACATCATTTACACCCTCAGAGCAACATGACAGCTCCCAGGTATTTCAGGGGTGTCTGGCACACTCCTGAAATCAGCCAACACAAACACACCAATGCTGTGATGTGGCTCCAGTAGCAGCAACAAGAGGATTTCGGATATAACAAGAACCATGCTGAAACAGGACTCTTGAGTCAAGCAGAGACACAATCAAGAGAAGATCTAAGCAACAGTTCTGTCTATTTGAATACTATTGAGGATTTACCACTTCATCACACTTGGTGTCCCTTTTGGCACCTGCTCCTCCCCTCACAGCTGTTCTCAGCTCTCCAGGGCTGCATCATGCAAACCCCAGCCCAACCTTACAGTCCCTCCTTTTTGACTACAGAAAGGGAAGATTTTGGTCCATGACTTAACAGGTCTGAACCAACCCGCCCAGCCTGGCACACCACCCAGCCACCACTGGGAAGAAGGGTCAGCTGTGTCTCCAGCAGCTGGAACACACCCTGGACAGCCGAGGGAAACAGTGCCTCCTGCAGATGGGATACAGGCATCTCACTATGTCGAGTTGCTTTTTAAAAAAAAAAAAAAAAGATGTTTGGGTGATGTTAATGACAAGACAAATTCTCTGTCTTACTGACCAGCTGCTGTACAGTCACGTGCCTTCAGAAAGGAAGAACTTTCATTAATGAGAATATATTCCTGGTTAAGTTCCAGCCTACTGAATGAACATTCACAGGTACAAAACAATCCAGCCACAGCACATCTCACTGCTGCTTCCAGCGGGAGCTGATGTGGAACTGCCCCAGGAGCAAAGGGTTTGCAGCTCCCCCACTACAATCAGTCACACAGATATATAAATCCTTTTGGTAATACACTCACTGAGCTCTACTTCTAGGAAGGAGCTTTTCAGCTGAAGCTTTTATGTTGGTTTTGGACACAAACTTTATTGTCTCCTCAGAATTTCTGCCATCCTGCTCAGCCTAGAGGTGCCCCACTGCCTCTGGCCCACGCAGCTATTTCTGGAGCAAACAGCAGCTCCCTGAAGGTCACTGTGCTGCACATGGCAGGGCCTGACCTTTGTGGGGGAGTGATCCCACCTCCTGAAACTGGGGCTGCTGACCTGGGCTCCCAAGGCAGCTGGAAGGCAAATGCTTCAAATACATTTCCCTCAAGGAACGCCTTCAGCAGTGGGATGTATTTTTTAGCAAAGCCATGTCCATCAGCCAGCAAGAACACAGGGAGGAACACGAGGTTTCCACCTTTGCACCACACAGACACAAATATGTTAAAAGGTGAAGTGTAATCCAATATTTCTGGTAAATAACTGTCTTAAGCCACTTCACTGGTTCCTGGAGAAGGCTGTTGAATTTCTGCTCTCCTTATTTACCTGTAGGCAACAAATCAAAAGCCAAGGATGTTGTTGTGATGGTTTATTGAACTCTCAAGCCTGACTAGAAATAAATTTATCTCCAGGCAACTAGCAAGCCTGGAAACTAAGGATGAATCCTGCCCAACCAGCCTCCCAGGCAGTTTATCCCCAGCTCTAGAGCTGTGCTTGAAGTAGCAGAGGGAGGTGGGGAGCCCTTCCTTCTGTGCTGGTAAAGGGAGATGATGGAAATAACTCTGTCTGCAAACCAGGATCCTCCTAATCTGCCTGGTCTCATTCACCCAAAAAGGCACAAAAAACAATGCCAAGGCAACCATGCACTGTAGAAAAATCACGTTGAATTATCATCAGACAGCTCAAAAAAGCGCCAGGGTTTGTTTCATGTAAGAACTTATCACATGTAGCTTAAATGGCCACATAAATGAATGGTTTGATTCAAACAAAACATGTGCTGATTTTATAGAGCAAGTCCCTACCAAAGCCTGCAAAGCACATCAGCCACTGCTCCTGGGGGCCAATGCCTCTCTCAGCCTGTTTTTCTGGTACAGAGGATTTTAAAGACAATATACAGGACACCCAACACAGACTGATGGGATTGTCAGGCCTATTTTTGATAAAGCACTAAATTCCCACACCAACAGGAGAGCCTCTGTACAATGGAACAGACATGCCAGTGGAATTCACAGTCTCACACAGGTTTCTAACACAAAAGTTGCCCAAGACACCTGAGAAAATAAATAGCTGCTGTCACTAACAAAGCAAGCTTGGTAACAAGCAACAGAACTGCTGGGCTCCTCTCTGGGCAAGCTCCACACGTCCTCCTTTCCTAGGGGCCAACAGCATTTTCTTGGAGACTTAAAGCACAGTCACAGGCTCATCCAGGCCTGCAGCAGGGTCTCAATCTTAATTTGCAACAGACAACTCAGGAATTTTCTCTTCGACAGTGAATGGACTGAGAATCCTCTGCCCCCCTGGGCTGTGGCCATGAGTGTGGCAGGGGCAGCACAACTGACATGGGGACGTGTTCCCCCCAGGCACTGCAAGTGCTGCACGTGGAGCCCATGGAGCCCTCCAAAACACATGGAGGATCCTAGGAGCATGCCAGGAGATGCTACTGAGCCCACCAGCAGGGCTAGGAGGGCACCAGCACCAACTGTTCCATCTGCAGGTGTGGAAACAAAGCAAGGCCATCACACGACAGGACTCCCTGGGAAGAGGCACATTCGGGCACAACAGAGGGCACACAGAGCTTCTTCCCTGCTCTGCTGATTCAAATCACTGTCCAGTGGCTCGGGGAGTCCTCGCTGGAGGAAAAGGCAGTTCTGGCAAGAGCACATCAGCCACAGCCAGAGCCCAGGCAGCTGCCTGAGCAGCACACACTTCAAACCACTGCCGCACCCACAGGGGTGGGCTGGGGCTCAGGACAAGGAACAAAAATCCAGAGGAAATGAAGCTTTACTAGTTCTGCTGCTCATGGAACAACTTGTTTTAATAAAGAAAAATTACTGAAGACATCCAAGAACAGCAGGTTCAGGTTTCAAAGCTGAAAATAAGTTGGGGTCAGATGCAAAAAGCAGCCTGCAGCAACACCATCTGTTCCTCGGGACAGCTTTTATTTCCTTCCATCTGAGCTAAGGAAAATGTGGGTTGGAATTTCAGCTATTTCACTTTGCTCTATTAGGCTCAAAGCCTGCATCTACTACAGATTACTGCTGAGCAGGAGTACTGTGGTGGAACACCCGAATCTTTGCTCTCAGACCTGCACTACTGAAGGTGTAAATCCACCCACGAGGGCTGCGGGTTCAGACACGTTCGGAGGACGCCGATCACAGACCTGCTGGGCAAACTGTGCTGTCACTGCTGTGTCTCACAGAGGGTTGGACTCATTCATCTAACTCTGTACTGCATGAACCAGTGTCTGCTGCTACGCTTGTGAAACACAAATGAAATACCACGACAGGGAGAAGAACATTCCGACACCGCACTCGTTTTTATGAATTTGAGTACACAGGGTACGGGACAGTGACTCTGGGCCACCACTTGCTCTGGGTATGACTAACTCTAGGAGGAGTTCAAGGCCATCATCTTATCATTCATCCATGGTCCCTGCAGTATTTTTAAAAAGTCTTTGTATTTTAGCACTGAAAAATATCAATATTTGTATTCTAAATCACTAACAAAATACATGAAACAGTAAAGATGACTTATAAAGTATGTTTAAGAGGGAAAAAAAGGTCTAGTAACCAGATCAAAGTACTATGGACTATTTTGATATTGGCACCAATTGCCTGTTTGATCACAGGATCAAGCACAACTTCTCTGGCTTTTGACTCCCATGAAGAAAGCATGACAAACACTCCTGCAATTTTATAAAATTTGACATTTACTAAGCATTTAAAGGTCAGAATGTGAAAGACACTCCAAGTGAAAAATTAAATGGGTTTCACAGATGAACGTGCAGTGACTTTTTTCAAAGTCACTCTGTAATAAGTTTAATGTAAAGCATCTTTTTCTAAGCCATGTTCTTTACCAGTTGCTCACACCCGTAAAACCCCCTTATTCCTAAGCAAAAAATACACTCCATGAGCACCAACACCTGTTTGGAAAGGGCACACACTTTCTAGAAGGTGAATTTCAGAACACACCTGCAGTTCCCAGCTCTGCAGGACCGATTACAGAATTTCCCAACAACCTGTCAGGAATAAGAGGTTTTATTCTTAAAAGGCTGCTCTGACCCAGAGTGGGCGTGTTGTCTACTGCCACTGCCACAAACAATGCCCAAGAACTCCAGTCACTTCCAATTTCATGCAGACAACAGTGAGCATGACAAGTGTTGGTACCTGTCTACTTTAATACTCGTGCTGGCACAGATTAATACAGATAAGGACTACCTCAAACTGGGACAAGGACTTGGACTCAAACTGGGACAGAGTGATCACAGCCTTCACTCAGAATCAACATTTCTTTTTTGGCACAGTCTTCTAGAATTTGGAATATCAGAAAGAGGGGAAAGCTAGATATCTTTAGATGACAATTATCCCAGTAATAACATGGATAAACTCAAACACATACAAGGTAAATTTAAAAGAGCGAATGGAGAAGTTAAAAATCTTCGTTTGGGGAAGCGTCTTTTGAAAAGAAAATGCACACCATGCAAAAGAGAATGAATTGAGAAGAGGCAGCCTACTGTCATCTTCAAAGGCCACAAGCAACAGGAAGGGTCACGAGTCTTTACAGCTCTTCCAACTGGCTCTTATTAAAAACTGGAAAAGGCATACCAAAGTCAGGGGAAGAAACTCCACACATTTCTTCTCCAGCTTTGAGCAGCATGGAAACCACCTTCTTTCAGAATAAAAATTACTTTGTGCTCATCGACATGGAGGAAACTGCATTTTCCCTCTCCCAACAGGAGCAGCAGACTGGACCTGTGCCCTCGTGACAGACACGTCTGTCCAGGAGAGAAGCAAAGACATCAAACCTACTCGGAAATCAGCCTCAGCTCCAAGCAGGCTGAAAATGCCTGGATTCACATGGAAAGGAGAGCAGGGGTTCCCAGCTGGCACACACACCAGCTGCCCAGCACTGCCAAACCAGCAGCACGAGCTGGGGAGGTGGGTGCTCTGATCCTTCCCAGCACTCCTGTTCCAACAACATCCACCCCAGCAAACAGCTCCTGGAGTTTGAGGCTGGGGCTGTAGGGGCCACTTCTGTGTGCAGACCCTCAGCACACATGAGCACAGCCCGTCTGGGGAAGGCCTCACACCCCCAGAGCTGCAGAGCTCCCAAGTCCTTCTGTCCCTGTCGCAGGCCAGGCCCTTGTCATGTCAGAGCCCTCGGGGGGCCCTTGTGTGTCAGCTCCCACAGCTGCTCCCACAGCCCCAGGGAGCCGTGGGTGCTCCGAGCTCCGCTGAGCTCCCGCTGCTCCCCGTGGGGCGGGCAGAGGTGCCTGGCCATGACTCACCCCTGCCAGGCTGCCAGGGCTTGAGTTACACTCCCAGTGGCACCGGGCCACGTGAGCAGGGAACACCAGCCGAGGAGCGGGATTATCCCAGCCAGCCCAAACCAGTTCCTGTGCTGCAGCCGTGCCAAGGCTCCCTTCCAGCCGGGGCTGCCATGGAAGGCGCTGGCTCTCCCAGGGCGCTGCTGCCCGGGAAGGGAGCGGTGATGCACATTTATTTTAAGGACTGAGAGGTGAAGCCATGCACCTCCTGAATGAACCCTGGGCTTCTGTATCAAATCACTCCATTATTAATAACACTTGGGCTGTAAAGCAGGAGTCTGCAGCTAAAAATATTCCTATTGTTCTGGTTGCGCTCACTTTGGCTTGTTATGTGGTTGAAAGGTTGCCGAGTTACTGGAAAAGCAGGAGCTGTGTTACAAGCTGGCAACAAAATTTGCAAGCAGCAATCCCCAGTACTAGAGGGACCTAAAGACACTGGAAAAAAATACACTTTGACTGTATAATCTTTTGTATCTTTCTGATAAACTGCTAGTTTATAAAAACATCCAAAGAGAAACACACCACTCGGGAGCTGCCACATTCAATGAGTCCAACAGCCCAAATATTCAGCATTTTGTTAGACAGCAGCAGGTACTTCCAAATACTTCAGAGAGAAACCTGCATATACCAGACATTTCAATAAAGCAACTACAGGAGAAGGGTCCTCCCAAGTTCCATCAATTAGCTCTTGATTTCTGTTCTGCAGAGAGCACAAAGATTTATAACCCTCTCGAAAGCATTTTTAATCCTGCCTTATGTAACCATGAACCTACTTGGTCATCCATCTATAATCATTTAATCGTTTCTGAACACAAGCATCTCTCCAATTTGTTGATATTCAGAAGTAAATTCTAAAAACATGTTTTACATACAATGCAGTCAACTGCCATTTGCTGCCTTTACATTTCTTATGAAGAAAAAGATTGCTCTTCCAGCTTCAAAAGAAAAATATGCCTTCTTCGTACAGCCCATTGATCTGCGTTTGATCTGCTGTTTGATCTCCCTCCTGAAACAAGTTCAAGTGAAAAAGAAAAACAGAGCTAACAAACCCATACACACTTTAGGAATTGTTGCTGGTAACTTATAGCCAATTTCACTTATTCACATAAACATCACAATCTGTTCTAGACCAAAACGTACCAAGGTCCCTGTATTTGGAGTGTCTTTAGTGGCTCATAAGGGCTTTTTTCTACCTCCTAGCGAAGTACTAGACAGCTCCTCAAAGGCACAGCTGAAGTTCTTTTAAGAAACTGTTCTTCATACAGAGAAAACAAAGCAGAGAATATCTTCACGGGCATTGAAGTGCCTAGGGCTGAATTTTATCTATTTTCAGTTAAAGGTATCAGGCAAGGACAAGTTCATTCCAGCTAAGAGGTTTAATTACATTCTCGTGCTTGCTTTATTTAGGACTCCAGTTTCCTCCCATGTGTGATGGGGATACCACCAGTGACCCCATATCCCTCTTCACCTCGTGGAACACAAGCAAGAGGGCTGAAAGCAACGCCCCCACCCCAGGGTAGCAGTCCCTGGCATCAGACACTCACCTCTTCACAGACCTCCCGCACGGCGGCCACGCCGGGCTCCTCCTCGGGCTCCATGCCCCCCCCGGGGACGATCCATCGGTCCGGGTGGCGACTGCTGCTCACCAGCAGCACCTGTGGGGAGCAGAGCACAGTGAGGGCACCAGGGCAGCGCTGCCTCCCAGAGCCAGCCGTCCCTCACCCCGCAACACGACCGACACAAGGCCAGGCCTTGCCAATACTCCACTTTTCCCTTGTGCAAACTCCATGAGCACTGACACCGAGGCACTCCCACACTCCTCGGTACTTCAGCCATTGCCCCTCCCTGCTCTGACACTTTGCAGAATAAAACCACCTCTGCACAGCAAACCATGGACACAGCAGCACACACAGTGTGAGTTCACTGTGTGCTCAGGCACTGCCGAGGCCTGACAGCACAGGATACACCTCATGCAACAGATGCTGCTCAGCACCTCCACCCTTTGCAGAAGGGCCTTGATTTAACTGTCCTGGTACCTTTGGCCTTGCCTGTCCCTGCAGTTATGTCACCAACAACACATACACATCAGGGAACTCTCACCGCAGTGTTTACGTGCAATTGTCTGAGCAGAGACTCTCAGCCCCCTGTTTTCTGCTTCTTTTGCAGTAGGCACCCAGGAGGTCGGCTCTGGAGCCAGCACTCAGGTACTTTTGGTTTAGAGGAAGTTGTTCAATGAGGTGTAAGTAAAATAAAAACTTATATTAAACCACTTAAAACCCCCTAGGAAAGGGCTGCACAGACGGACAGACTTTTGTGAATGAGAAAAACAGTTCAACCCTCTTCCCGGGATTTGCCATATTCATGCTTTGTGACCCCCTTCCCAGGAGGGATTTGCCATATTCATGCTTTGTGGCAGTTTTTCTTGAACCACATTTTATTCCAGTGTACTTCTGCTCTGTACAAGTTCAGGTTTTGATTTCCCACCTTCCAGCAACACAAACGCTCAGTGACGCTCTCAACTAGCTACAGACTGTCCCAAAGAATAGCGAGACACTGAGCTTATTAAATCTACTTGCAATACATCCATGAGCAGAGATGGAAACTAAAAACAAAACTAATACTGTTGCCCAGCTCTTTAAACAAAGCTTGTTCATTAGAGCCATCCTGCTGTACTTCATCATTTCACTGGCACAAAGCTCGGAGCCAAAGTGACTTGCTCCAGAAACTTTCCAGCATACCAGTCCAATTAGGTTCCAGGCCAGCTGTAACAGTGTCAGACACTGCAGAGTTACACTGCAGAGACACTGAAATCCCAGGCTTTACTGGGGAAACTCTGATTTGCCAGTAGGATATGAAAAGATTTGCACTAACTATCAGGAGGAATCTACCTACAGAATTCAAAATTAAACTTCTGAAACAAAAACAAGCACAGGATTTCCAGGGCTTCCCAGTTCTTTTATCTCGAAAATTCTCATCTGCCAACTGACCACCTGGCAAAGTGATGTTTCATTTTCCAGGGCCACCCATCCCCACTGGCTCAGCACAGGGAAAAGAGGGGGGTCAACAGGCCTGAACACACCAGGGTGAGCAGACTGGGGCCAGCTGTGGTGGGCAAACCCCAGCTCTCAAACCAGGAGCAGCAGACCTTACAGCAGAAACTGCAGAGGGGTCACACCAGTGCTCTGGCAACTGCTGGGCCAACCTTTTCCAAGTCTGGAACTGACCTCGGCGCTCTCAAGTGTCAGCACTCCTGTAATCATCATTTTTCTGTGGATCCCACCAATAATAAAGTCTCGAAGCCTCTCCCTTCCTGCTTCAGCCAAACTCATGAAGCATCATCATTGACCCAACCACCCCATCCACATCCCTGAGCACTCCCCAATCCACGGGATGAAACTCATACTGGAAAGGAATGAGGCTGCAAGAGCCACCTCAGTTCCACAGTTCCAAGTGGGATGGTCCCTGCCTGCCCCACCTTCTGGCCGAGGCTGAGGGAACAGCATTTACTTTATAGTGACATCCTGAGTTTTTGGCCCTCTCCAAGAGGAAGGCAGAATTCCTTTCCCCAGGCATCCAGTCCATGTAAAACTCCATCAGTAAGCCATGCCTAAATAGGGAATGTAAACTTCATTCATCCTGAGAGCCCTCAGGCTCGGGACAGCGGCCAGTCCTGGGCTGTCCCCAGCCACCTCCAGTTTGCCACCAAACCTCCTGGAGTACAGTCCCTGGAGTTATTCCTTCCTCACTCATCACCAGTGCTGTCCATAGGGCAGCTTGGACTCAAACTCCTGACTGCAGGTCAGCCGGTGATTCCGAGGACAAAGCTAAAAGAGAAGGAACATTTCAAGTGCACGTTTGCTGCCAGGTAAGGAAGCACCAGCTCTGCCGCTTCCGACTGCAATTCAGAGCTCCAGCTCAAAGGGGAAAAAAAGATTAAAAGAAGCTGCAGAACCAGATCTTTGAAACTCACACAGCACACTTCATGCTCCTGAACTCCTGCCACCTACTAGTCGTGAGAACAAGGATCTGCTGTGGAACCCTGGACACAGAGTGCTCCAGGAAACCTGCTCGGGCTGAGACAATGCCTCAGCAACACACCAGGAGGAACTTTTGGGTGTAAACAACTGTTTGAGGCAAAGTAAATTAACTTCAGCTGCTCTGGCAGTTGAGCGTTTTCTGAATAGAATTAATATGAACAACCCTCGCTGGGAAGGAAAAACCTGTCATTCTCACACTTTTATGTAATCAGACTATTTCCTGTTTAATAAAAAGGAAATCAAATCAGGAGAGAGCAGGAAACAAGCCCTACAAGGTCATTCTTTTAAAACAACTTCAAACAGGATATTGCTACCAATGAGCTCTCCCAAGACAAAGGGGCCGAGTTCCAAATGAGGGGGAGACACTGTTGTGTTGGAAAAAACCACACTTCCAACACCAGCCCTGTGTCCCAATACATACAGTGCACTCAGAGGGATCAAGGAAAAGGTTGTTATAATCCAAATCCTAGACTGGTTTGGGTTGGAGTGGACCTTAAAGGCCACCTCATTCCACCCCCTGCCATGGGCAGGGAAACCTTCCACTAGACCAGCCCAAGGTACAGCTGGCTTTTTTGCTCATTTACTTCTTTATTACATAAAACCTTTCATTTGAATACACTCTAAAGAAGTTAATTTAATCTAAATAGTCACCAAAAATACACCAGAAATTAATTGTTTTATTTCTTTAAATCAGATCAGAACACATGGGAAGCTTGGATATTTCCATTTTATTATTGCCAGGCAACTGTGTTTAAGATGGCTACTGAGACTCTTGGCCTACCAGGGATTTTGGAGTTGGATTTTGGAGCCAAGTCCAGCAGACTTTTGGGAAAAGCACTTGCAGGTATCATGCCACATGGCCAAGTTCTGTTTTCTGGGATTTGAAAGACAATTATGTCATTTCAAAGCAGGGAAATGAGCAACACCAGCCTCTCTGGCAGGCAGGAGGTGGCCCTGCCGTGGCTCTCACACACAAACCCCCACTCGAGAGAAAGGTTAGAAAAATAAGCCAAGTTTGAAGTGTCAGCAGGGGCTCAGCTCAGAGCAGGGCTGCAGCCTCATGGCAAAAACCTTCAAAGCTGCACACAACAAACAAATCCAAACAAACTTGAGCAGGAACAACTCTGCCTGGAGGAGACAGGAAACACACCGAGACATCTAAGGCTGCCTGCATTGCCACACGAAGGGAGAATCTCCACGGGAAAAGGTGAAAAGAGTTTGTCTCCTGGATAAATCTGGGCATCCCCAATACATAATGCTGACCTTAAAACAACCTACTCACACACCAATCTGTTGTATCCACATGGAGGGGGTTTTCTGTTTTTTCCCCAGGAATAATGGGGCTCTGCAGAGTGAAAACAAGGCAACCAGAATGAGGCAGAGACTTAACTCCCTCTTAGCAAAACAGAGGCAGAGGGATTCCCAGGTTCTTTCATGCTGTGATGGATTTAAACAACAACCACCACCACCCATAAATAAAACAAGAGTGTCTACACCATAAGGAACATGATTCCTCGAAAGAGGCTCTGCAGCAGGATTTCAGCAGACTAAAAGGGCCGCAGCCCTGCTAGAAGCTGGGCCCCAGCGTGAGCAGAAAACGAGCTGAGAACCTTCCAGACTTCCAGGAAAAGCCAGTGCTACCCACCCGTGCCAGCCCAGGCCCGCCGAGCTGGCAGCCAGCAAGGGAACAGCAGGCAAGATGTTAAATCCGGGGGTTTGGCCCGGCAGCCTCCTGCTGCCAGGAGCCGATCCATAGCTGCTGGCTCCTGACACAGCCCCTGCACTGCCTTTCAGGCTTTCCCTCAATATTTTCAGGCTTTCCCTCAATATTGTCATGCTTTCTATCAATATTTTCATGCTTTCTATCAACATTGAGCCATAAATCACGTCATTTGCATAGCAACTAAAGCAAAAAACCTCCCGACATTTAAACTCGTTTCCCACTTCAGCATCATTGATCAGAGCACAGACTGGAAGGAGACGCTGCCGCAGAGGCTGCGGGAGCCGGGAGCAGAAGATGGCTGACTGTGAGCTTTGCCTGTACAATCTGCCTTTGTCTGAAAGTTTCGGTTTAGCACGAGCCTGTTCTCAGAGCTGAGCTGTGGGAGCACTGCTCCGATGTGCCCCATGGCCAGGCAGATCCCGGGGCCGGTGCCATGTCCAGCATGACAAGCACCTTGGACGCCTTACTCAAAATTAACAAATATTCTCTCAATCCCCAAATATTATTGTTAGTCTCCTTAATGCTTTTCTATCTGACAAGAGTGGGATCTCCATTCGACCGCGTCAAACCACCTTTATGCCCTGTGACCAGCGCAGGCTGACAACTGGCACTCTGGAGGAGCAGGAGGGGAGGAGGGACCCTGGCGTTGGCAAAGCCGTGCAAAATTAATCTCATTTCCCCGGCAGAAACACGGCCTCGACTGCACTACAACAAATCACGTGCTGTGCCAAACTGCTAAGGCAGGACAGTCCCAGGGCACACGCCAAGGCTCACGGGAGGGCTTCTCCCACACTCTTGCTATTCCAGGCACATTCCAGAGTTTGCACAGGGTAGGAGCAAGTACAGCCTGTGGTCAGCAGGGCTACCCCAGCCCTGCACCCAACAGGACCAGGGC